ATCCCCATGGGCTAGAGAGAGGGAGGTGGAAAGAGAAAAGGTGTGGGGGGAAAGAAGATCCAAAACAACCCTGTGAAAATACTACACTACAAGTAATGCATAGAAAACCGTAAATAAGGATACGTATTTTTAGCTATATTGACTTCAAAGTATTTAATAAGCAGTAAAACATTTCCCTGGAAGTTACTTTTTGGATGAATATAACGGGTGTATTATCTGATTTTTTGTTTTTTTGTATTGAGAGCAAAGACAATTCAATAATGTTTGTGTAAAATGCGACTGAATTGACATACAGATGATGTGATTTGGAGTAAAGCAGTTATAGATAGAGAGAGAGAAGTGGACTCTTTATACCCCCAGTGGATTTCACATCAGCTTGTTCCCCCTGGCTTTCTGTTTGAACTTCTTCATGTTGCTGGAGTGCATTATGCCTCCAGTCATCTTGTACACACTCATCTTCTCCTCAGCCGTGAAGCCCAGCGCATCAAAGGCTTCCTGCTACGGACACACAAGCATACAGAGAGAGAAGTGAGAAGAGAGTGTATCCATGGTGCACAACAGAAACACAAAGAGAGGCAATAGCACCATCAACAGGCTCATTTGTATACTTTCTCATTTGTCATGAAGATGTTTGACAGGCATAATCACATATTTAAAATCGAAGCAAATCATGAATAAGTCAGCTCATCCAGAAAAAAAATGTGAACGTATAGTTTTTTATGTTTTTTGGTTGTAATGTTTCTGTATAATACACAAACTGTCAATTCCATACAGTATTAAGGATATATCATGTCAATACTTTATTTGTATTGTCTGAACCCCTATTATCAAGCTTTGAATAGCTTATTGGGGTTTACACATCACTCCATTATGATTGCATTTAACTCGTGAATAAATCAAATGAATGAAATGAATCACCAAACAAACACGTTGTCCTTTAAATCAGCATAGACTGGTTCTCATGCTCTGCAGATGCAGGACATGGAGAGGGCGGAGAAACAAAGCGAGTAAGAGAGAATAATGACCGTAGATTTCCCTGCGTGCTGCTGATCCCAGGCCTGCTGATGTTTCTGTCAGCAGAACCAACGACACCGACAGCTGTCAGCTCTCCCCTGATGCCGTGTAATGACTCCAAATGTTGTTCTGCTCCCTGAACAAATCATCGTACAGCACACTGATTGCTGAGCTACGGCCCCACTCCCTCTTTCCACAGCAAGAACAGTGTAATGACTTTTAGGCAACTCCTCTCGGGGGGGCTTTTTCCCAAATCATCACATAACACTTACCTCTCTGCCATCTTGCTCCACTTTTAGTTTCACACTATAACCATGAACAATTTGCTCAACAGCTACCTTCCAGATTTACACTATGTCAGTATTGTTTTATATGTCTATATTTCTGTTTGTAGTTTATCCAGAATATTTTGTATTGTGTGTTATTTGTGATCTATGTATTTTGTACTGTGTTTATATTGTTTTATTTGATTATGTTTATATTTTATTCCACCTTTTAAATATGTAATGCCTGAACACACTTGCATCCTTTGATTATTAAGATTAAAATGAGATTAATAACAGTATGTAATGTATTTAAGTCAAAAGGACTTCTGTAAGTCTTACCGAGGTCTTGACGGTGACTTGTCCCCGTCTTCAGGCTGAATCTCTCCAGCGATGAAAGCTTCCTTCTTGTCTTTGATCCAGAAGGAGCGCTTGATGTCGTATGGTTTATTCATAGCATCCAGGCGCTCCGTCTCATTGAGAACCAGGAGCGGCGGGGGGTCCACATCGTCCCCCCAATCCCCATTATAAGGCATGATGCTGCTGCCACAAACCAAGAAACCAACTCACAAAAGTGTGTTAGAAGTAAAAGGAATAAATTGGCCATCAGTTAAAGGTCACCTAATATGCAAAATCCCTTTTCATGTCTTTTCTACATCAACATGTGTCCCCTCTGTGTCTGGAAGTTTCAGGAAAAAAGATTCTCTCTCTTTTTGACCTGATCCATTTATATAAAAACCTGTCTGAAAATGAGCTGATCAAATTTTAGCCAGTTTATGATGTCATAACGATTTTGTTGGCTTCTGTAACCATTAGCCAATCAGCAACCAAGGTAACCCCCCGCCCACCTTATAAACTGAATCTCCTCCTAGAGCCCCATTGTGTTCTTTGTAACCAAATATCTCTCAGAGGGGCGTGGGGAGGGGCTCCTTATTTTCATCTAAAGTAACAGCAGAGAATCAGCACTTTTGAAACAGGGCTGAAACAGAGGGGATTATGGGATGCTGCAATGATCTGTTTGGTATTTGGAGCCAAACAGAGACAGGCTCTGTATATATCTGAGACCTGTGATATATTGATAAAAAAACAGTATAATAGGGGACCTTTAATCAGTGTTTGACTCACAAATGCAGGACATGGAGGTACAATCAGGAGGTGTTTAAGATCAGTCTCTTTTATATCCGTCCTTCATCTTCTTAATATGGTCACGTCTCTAAAACCAGACATCACCCCGAGGTCTCATCCCTCCGATCTGCCAGGGAATGTCAGATTTGGGAATTCTTCAATCTGCCTCCGTCCATTTAGGGTTTCCCTGGAAAGCCGTCACTCAGACTTGGACCATCTTCTCCACCTCCCACATCTGCTCTTAAAATGGCTATCTCTCTGTGCACCAGTTAAGAATTTGGATGAGTAAGGCATCTTATATTCAAATCATAGACATGCAGATACTAAGACGGCCATTTTGTTGTCTTTTTTGTTGCTTCTCCGCAGGTTTCTTCCTCCTCTTTCTCTGCAGACTGCCTAATTTCAAACCATGTTAAATTGAAACAGTTACTCATAGAGTAGAAACAGATTTCTGATTTTGTTTAGAGGCCAAATTTGCCCAAACTTTTGTAACATAACCAAAAAATAACCCTGTGTCCACCAAAGCTCGTTGAAAAGCTTTTAGGGAAACCTTTTGTGAATCATTGTATCCTCAGAATGTAGCCTCAATTCGACAGTTGTCAAAACTGTGTCAGATGTTAGTCTGGTTCCCTAAAGGGGGTACAGAGATACAGACTGACGCACACTCAGGAGAGTTGATGTTTGTCGAGTCCACATTTTTCAGCTTTACAAAGAAACAGCCACCTCAAGCAATACAGGTGTTTTAAGGAATCTATGGTAAAGCCTAGAGAATATATGTAATAATATCTAAACTGTCTTTTACTGTTCATCTTTATCTTCTTTCTCTTTTTCATGTAGCCAAATTAAATTGCCCTTTGGTCTCTTGTCCCTGTTTTGTCTTTTTTTTATACGTAAATCACTTTGGGAGAACAAAAGAAAAGGTCATGTAATTGAATCGCTTCAAACCACACCTCATTGAAAAAGCTGCTGTATAGCTCAGCGGTGGCAGTTCATATCCAGATCACTATTTAAAAGAAAATTGTCTGTCAAAAAATATAATAACACAAATAAAAAGTTCCATAAAGAATATTCACTAAAAGTATTTAAAAAATACTTGAAGCAAAAGCCTTTATACATTAAACAGATGTTATTAATGTAGAAAAACCACCAGGGGAAGTGTTAGGAGATGTGTGAAATGATTTTGGTAGAACTTTACTTATTGAAGTAAATACACATACACACACACACACACACACACACACACACACACACACACACACACACACACACACACACACACACACACTATCTCAGACAAGCAAATTCATACTAACAGCTGCACTGCACATGACGGTTTCGGAGGGATAAGTTAATTGGTGTGTGTGTACGTGTCTATCTGTTTTTGGCAATATGACCACTTGTGGAGCATTGAGACCCCTATGGTTGAGACACACATGATGCAAACACATAAACTGATGTAAAAAAAAAGTGGGAAGAAGAGACTGAAACATGATTCAAAGAGGAAGACTGAAAGGTATTAAAATCATTAATTCCACCTGTGTGCGCGTTTGTCTAGCCTCTGGAAGTGTCCCGCCAGACTTTTCACAGCTTATATGGATTTACTGTGTCCTGTAAACAGGCTGGTGAGAGGGTCCATTGTTCCAGCAGCTAATACTGCAGCCGTGCAGCCAACCCCAGGGCCGCTAAAGAGCCAAATCCCTCCAGCCATTATCCCCCAACACCCAACTCTCCCACAACCTTTAACCGGTCGCTTTACAATCCTGACTAACGTTTTCTATAAGTACAAGTATATTGTATGATTTTTGATAAAGAAAGGCATTTAGGTTAACTGGATTTGATGTATGTTTGAGGTTTCCACATCACTACTTGCTGGTTCACTTTGATAAGAAATACAATGCTAATAATATTACTTATCATTATGGAGTAGTTAAACAATCGTAGACTCTGAATATTTATAAGAACATGGAAATCAGATGTGTGGGATGGTGAATGTGGGCAACAATGAGAACAATAATCTCTTTTACACAGTGATATTATGCCTATGCAATTTAAATGGATTAATTGTTGTTATTGGAGAAAAAAAAGAATAACCATAGAAGGATACATAACATATGAGAACTTTGTTATCTGAATAAAATACTTTCATTTCTATGTATTGCTACAAAAGCTTGAATGGAGACTAGTAAATAAACATCTTTGAAATACTTAATTTTCGGAGTAAATATCCATGTGCTGGTGGTATTAAAGAGGCTATTTCGAGACTGGGAGTAACCAGAAAAAAGATGTAGGCTAAAGTACGTAAAAGAACCAAAATATATTCAATCATTGCTTTCCCATTTTAAACTACTTTATTTCTTAATTAAACAGGTATTATTATCTTTGAAATCTATCTTTATAATCATAAAAATACAGTGACAATTAACATAAATAGGCTTTGTCACGGGTATTTTTTTCTTTTTACTAGTGTGGAATACAGTACTTTAAAATAAAGCAGAACTGAAGGCTTCAATGTAAGAAATTAAGAATCTGATCTTTACGGGCACGCCCACGCTTCCCGGACGCGCGCCCGTCACGTTATACCCGTTAAGGACATGACGTCAGTACGTGCTTGAGCCTGCCCGAAAATGCTCTCCCGTGTTGTTGGATTTCGAAAGAGCACAGGACTTTGCGATGAAATAATACATGTTTACCCGTGTGGAAAACAAAAACAAACCGCATGTTTTTAAACGTAAGTGTTTCGCGTTCCCATTGAGTGGAGAAACGGTGTTTTTGGAGGGGACTCCAACGGGGAAGTTTGAGTGATCGTTTTTTCCCGGAGTGATGTCGAATCCTGGGACTCGGAGGAACGGGTCCAGCATCAAAATTCGACTGACAGGTAAAAAAAAACGACACCGAAAGAAAGAAAGCGCTTACGGTGCATGTTTTAACTGGAGCTAAAATGTTTCTCCATACAAACCACTGTTTAAAAGTGTTGTTATTAGCAAACCTAACAGTGTCTCTTTGATGCTCTCGGCTCTGCTGTTTGCCCAAACATCCGGTTTTTGTGTGGCTAACAGCTCATAGATGTATAAAGAGAACTGGATACAGCGTCGGAGGCGGGACCCCGTTCATTTCTATGAGAGATGCTCAGTGGCGCATGAAGCTCAAAACGGCCTGAGCAAAAGTACCCGTATGTGGGTCTATAGAGCATGCGCAGTTCGGTTTTCCCTTTCGCCCCGCCCCCGATCTCCCGTTCTCGGTTGAGTCAAATGAATGGAGAGATAAAATAACTCTGGATTCATTTTTTAACTTCATTTTACAACTTTAAGACCATAGTTATTTAAATAAGGGATATACAAGTGTTCTTGCTGGGCAGTTTAATTGGCTTAAAATACATATTAATGCTGATTAACAGACGTCTCTTTCCTAATGTAAGTCAATGGGGAAATAGTATTTTGGGGCCCAGCGACGTCACAGATTGATAATGAAGTTGTAGTACCGCCGTTTAGCCACTACAATAATTTGCTCCAACGGCCGGCACACTTCCTGGGGGCACAAGTGCTAGCTTGTTAGCTCATATGCTAACCCAAATTACCGAGAGGACAGTCGAGAAAGCTACTCACTATCAATGTGGATTTCACTGTATACAAGACCTATCCTTACAGGTCATTAGAAACACCCGCTCTCGAAAGCTATATTAAAAAACTTTACGATTTGCCAACACTTGTTTCCCAACCAGCTAGCGTTAGCTTATAGTAACACTGTAGTTACCGTTGACCGCTAACGCCTGCTAGCTACACCCATATTTTTGGGGTTTGACCAGCCGAACCCATCGCTTAACCTGAATGTGATGAGCTCTGATCCTGGGATTAAAGCTAATGTCGAACTACACCCTGTGTGAAACAAAATCAATCTCTCGGTGTATATAAAAATGCTAGCATGCATTAGCCATGAGTATGGATTTCGCTGCTGTGCGGTGGTGTAAAGTAACTAAGTAGATGTACTCAAGTACTGTACTTAGGATTCAATTGTCAGATGCACAGTAGCTACAGTGTAGTTATGACAATGGAAATCTTAAATCCCATGCTCCTTCAACAATGCTACATAAGTATATAAGACATAAACAATCAAATAAAGTGCAAGAAGAAAGTGACAAATGTGCAGGTAAATGTGTATGCAGTAAACTATATACATATCAAATAGAATAAGATGAACTAAAACAGAATGTAAAATGAAATACTCTACAAGGATAAAACACTGCCTATGGTAGTAATAAATAAATGTGAGACATGCAAACAGATGAATGCTTAAAAGTTATCAAGGCACTTCAGAGCTCAGGAGTTCAACAGTCTTATGGCCTGTGGAATAAAACTGTCTAAATACAATTTTAGCTACTTTGTACTTCTACCCCACTACAATTCAGAGGTAAATCATGTACTTTTACTCCCCTACATTTACTTGTGACCTTGAGTTACTTTGGAGATTTTGTTAAATTATGTTAAATATAAACAACACCTAAAACATACTTAAGTTACACCTGGAGTAAATTCACAAGCATACAAAGTCATTCAATTATAAACAAAACAAATGATATACATTATTATAAAATCGTTCAATCTGCATAATGCATACTTTTTACTTTTGGTATTTTAGTATGTACTCTTACTAAAGTAACCTTTTGGTTGCAGGACTTGTAACAGAGTAATTCTACATGGAGTACTTCTCCCACCTCTGCTGCTGTGTCAGCTGGAGCAAAACAAATGTGACTGACTCTGTAAACTCAGTGTTACCAAGAAAAGCTTGACAAGTGTGCTCTTTTGGTCATCCTGTTATCTACTCTACTATATTTGTGTTCGTTTTAGGGTCAGTCTTTCCTCTGTAGGGCACATAGGAGTCTTTTCTTTCCCTCACACACACGGACACAGCTGGAACAATGGTTTTTACTGTAGCTAATGTAACCCCACTGGGCACCCAGGGGCCTCTATTCAAATGGTAATGACCACTCTGCGCCGCTGGGCAGACGCCTTGTCCTTCTGATTCAAAGTTCAGCAAACACACACCATAATGTGCTCGCCTGTAGCCTCAATAGGTGTTCTTTTGGTCTGCATGCATCGGTGCAGGAGAGCACTTCAAGTGTATGATTGTGAGAGATGAGTAAAAGAGCTACAAGCTGGCTGTTTATTTTCCTACTCTATTCCTTTTTTTGATTTAAAGAGAGCAGAGTATTTTGATTATTGCGGAGAGTATTGACGAAACCTACACGTCCCAGATCTGGCGTACTTCTCACCTTATCATACATTTTTCTCATTTTAGTTACAAGATATACTTATCTGTATTAAGCAGTTACGCATAGTGTCTCAATTGGCAATCCGGGCTCACAACAGCAGTATTTCCTATTTTAGTCCCTCAATGAAACAGTTGATCGATTTATTAACAATTAAAATAGTCCTTAGCTTGAGCCAAAGTTAGGAGACATGCAGTCATAGGCAATTGGTTCAGTATAGAGCTGCATGTTAATGAAAAATCTCTATTAGAAATTATTTCACTTAAAATTGCGATTTTGATATGATGATGATATTGGTCGTATTTGAACCATAACACTCATTATGATTGAAACATATATTAAAAGATTATGTCGTGGTTAAAAAAGGAGGATATGTTCCAAACAAAAACATTTGATTAAGTCTGGTGTATCCAATTTGTAGGCTGCTTCGCAATAATCTAAAAACTTTAAAAAAAATATATATATATATTAAACCTTTTATCAAAAATGCAGCTTTCTCTTGTCTGATTATTCCACTGGTCCATATTATGATTTTGATAACATTTGGTTGCATTTGAGCAGCCCTTTCAGTACCAACATGGTACATACTATATAAGTAATCCGTTGAAAATAACACAAAAACAATCTTCAAGTCTAGTTCAAGGAACGCTTCTTCAGTGTTGTGTTTCAGATGATCCGCACACTGAAAGAAAGTAGTGAAAGTGTGTTTGGATGTTTTATGCTGTGGAGGGTGTGTCACTCATTATTTCAGCTTGAATGCAAACAGTGGTTATTGCCCCTGACTGTGCCCCGCCCCCACAGGTATGAGAGGAATTCTAATTGGGTGAGGAATGTGTGATGAGCCAATGGGAGAGCAATGCTGTGGCTGGCCAGCGCTGTGTTTAGTCTGAGAGAGGGGTTGTTTGGCCTACATCTGAAAGGCCTGTGTGTGTGGCGGGGACGCAGACAAAGACCAGGGCGAGTCTGACTCTGGGTCACATTTTAGAGACTGGGTTATATGGACATATTTTAGCTAGAAGGCGGTGTTCTGGTTAGCTTAAGTTAGCTAAATAAGAGGGGCTTTTCCAAAAGTGTCAAATTTAGGTTTCATGATCGAGTGGGATGTGAATGGAGACTATTGTACTGAATAGAGGAAACATATGATGAGAAAACGTTTTAAAAGTCTTATAGAGAAACATTTGCAGATAAAGATTTCGCCTGTCTGCTTTAAGACTGTGTTTTATTACATTTGTGTCTTAAGCCAAGAGTATTAAACACCGAAAGTGGGCCTCAAATGCATGATCAAAAAGGTTTCTTATTTGATAAAGTGTTGCTTGTTTTAAGTAATACTTCCTATCAGGGACTGGTTGTTGTGAGTATGTGGTAAAGTTGACCAAAATCAGTGCTGCACGATTGTGGTTAATCGTACTCGTATTGCGATATGGTTCCCATTATCAAATAGCATTACACTTCATTCAGATATCTTCACATATTTAGCCTTTGCCAAATATTGCGCTTCCTGCTATTTGAATATTGCACGAGTCCATTTAGTGATTTTGATTTTAAATGTCAATGAATTATGTATCTGTAATTTGAAAACAAGCGTTGTGGACTCGCGTTGGGCCCAAGAAGAAGTAGTTGCTTTGTTTGGGTATGAATGCGTTATTGTGAAAAGAAAATGTCATCTAATGCATAAAAGAATGAGTGATTCAAGGGATATGATAATGTTATTTTGCTCATGGTAGTAACACGATTTGGGGAAATAATGTAATTGCGATTTTTCTGACAGATATTGCGATTCGATTTGCGATATATTTGTTTTTAAGCGACCCAACGGAAGTTTATTGTAAAATGCGGCCATATCTCCGGCTAGGAAGGTCGCATCAACGTGCTCCCGTCTCTAGCACCCCCGCAGCCCGAGCTACGAGTGAAAGAACTAAACTTACATGAAACTCCCGTTGGGTTGCTTTAAAGCCAAGCTTCAGTTTAAGACTCACCCTGTAATAGAAACATGTGATGGAGCATTACTAACCTGACTCAGACGGTTTGTTTCACCGAACCATCTAGGGGAGCTCCATTGGAAACCATTTGGAAAAGTGTTTCAAAAATACTTGGCAGGTGATTGGATCAATCTGTCTACCACCTTCTATCATGGGCCACTTCTGATTGGTTAACAATGGCTGGTACATGTGGAGCACAGCACTTCTGATTGGTGTGGATGACTGACACACAAGAAGAACAAACTAAACTAAAAGAAATCGCAGGCTTTTGCGATTTGATAATTGCATCATTTCAAATCGCGATAACGATTTCAAATGGATGAATCGTTCAGCCCTAAACACGTCCTGCTAATGTTTTGTTCCTTCGCACTTGGATTCAACTATTTTCCCCAAACACAGAGCAGTGCCAGTCGGCGACATGGGATAGAGGCGAAGAATGAGGAATAACTAACGATTTAAAAAAAAAGCAAGTTGAAAAAGGAAAGGACACAATAAGCAGCTCAAGTGTGAGATGGAGGGAAAGGGGGAATCATGCTTACT